ATGAGTGTGCCACACCCATAATGCTTTGCACCCAACCCCAGCACGCATGCATGCACGACCAGCGCTCCCCTATTTTTGGAATGCTTTTGTGCCCTCCCCAGGTTCCAGAGGATTTATAGGAACCTGGGGGGGGCAAAAACAGCCTCCCCCCCCCCCGCAGAGGCCTCCGGAGCATGAAAAACAGGTCCTATGGGCAAACCAGAAGTTCAGGAACGGACTTCCGGTTTGCTCGCAGTGCCGGTTTTAGCCCTCCAGAGTCTTCAGGGGCCTTATGGAGGCTTCCCTGAACGCTCTGGAGGGCTAAAACTGGCCCTATGAGCAACCTGGAAGTGACTTCCAGTTTGCTCGTAGGGTCGTTTTTTGCCCTCCGGAGCCTTCAAGGAGGCCTCCTGAAGGCCCCTGAAGGCTCTGGAGGGCTAAAACCGGCACTGCGAGCAAACCGGAAGTCCGTTCCTGAACTTCTGGTTTGCCCATAGGACCTGTTTTTCATGCTCCGGAGGCCTCTGCGGGGGGGGGGGGGGGCTGTTTTCGCCCTCCCCAGGCTCCTATAAAGCCTCTGGAACCTGGGGAGGGCACAAAAGCATTCCAAAAATAGGGGAGCGCTGGTCGTGCATGCATGCGTGCTGGGGTTGGGTGCAAAGCATTATGGGTGTGGCACACTCATGCACGACTCCCCTGCATCCCCCCCCCCCGCTTTTGGCATGCAAGCCAAAAAAGGTTCGCCATCACTAGTATAGGGACTCCAGACTGATTGTGTGTATGAACTCCGCCCTCAAGTTCAGCCTGGTCATCTACAGAAACACAATCCAGATTTTACTCAACTCCTTACATACCCCAACACAAGTTCAGTAATTCCTTCTGTACATCCTTTTGATTTATGAGAGGCATATAACACATATATATGGGTTAGTTCCGAAAGCAGAATTGTTGGGACATGATTGGGAAAACTAATGTTAATTTTCTGAGCTTAGTTTTGAATGGAAAAAAATGGTATATACAAGAATCTCAGCAATTCTAAGATACGCAGATTGTATTTGATGTAATAGGAAAAACCATGAGTAAAATATTAAATTATTGTAATTTATTTATTTCTTCTACGAACAGAATACCTTGGAGCAACAGATGGAGAGTCATAGGGAAGCTCATCAGAAACAGCTCTCTCGATTACGAGATGAGATTGAGGAGAAACAGAAAATTATTGATGATATCAGAGAGTATGTTTACTTTCACATTCCCCAGTACAGTTTTTGAATAATTTTGCAAGTGTATATACATCTATATACAGACTACTGCTGATGACCTATTTGATTTCTATTTGATGATGTATTGCTTATATTTATTGGCAAAGCACTCAAGAAAACCAGATGAGTACTGCTGCAGATGTGTTTTTCTAGAATCTTCTTGTGACAATTTGAACAAATAAGTAAACTCAGAAAGAACAAAGAACAATCTATAAAGTGCTCCTGTTTTAATAATTAAAAAAATGCAGCAAAGTATCATGTTTATGTCCAAGGCATACCATATTTTTCAGAGTATAAGACGCACCAGAGTATAAGTCGCACCAAGGTTTTGAAGAGGCAAATTTTTTAAAAAGTAGCTAGGTAGATAGAGGGATAGAGAGAGAGAAATAGAGAGAGGAGAGAGAGAGAGAGAGAGAGAGAGTAGGTAGGTATGTATTCTGACCCCCTCCTCCATCCAGTAACAAAATCCGAGACAAGCTTA